GTTGCAATTGAAAATAATTTTGTTTAATTTCCAGTTCTTTTCAGTCAGTGAAAATCATGTCTATCGTCCGCCGTATTATGCTCCACCACTTGGAGAAAGAATGTTGGAACGTAGCACGGTGATTTCGCGATCTGAATGACCTTTTGGACAAAAGAACGATCGGCGAAAGCCAAGATGGTTCAAATCGGGCGATACAAGTCTCGCGGATGAAGAGGAAAACCGTTAAATTTCGACGACCAGGCACTTTTGGCGGCCGTGAAAGAGAAGCACGAAAGTTTGACAATTATTAAAAAACCGTAATAATTATGTATCAACTGATATGTATATACATGTTAGATTAGACGAGCTCGTTTCGTAGGTAAACGAAGATTAAAGTGGATCGCGTGTGTTGGAGATAAAAAAAGATGGAGATAATGGATGTTGAAGAGAAAGCTGTAAGCGTTTATTAAAAGTGACATCGCGCGCGTTAAATATGCGAGAGCGGATCGAAGAAAGAAGGCGAGATAAAAATCGATCGATTCGAAACAGATAAGCAACAATGGAATCGCCGCATATTTTCTTTTCTTTTTTTTTTTTTTTTTTCCATTTTTCAGTTCGAAAATCGAGAATGGAAAGTCGAGGCGCGTCCAATTAAAATCGCGCGGCCCTAAACCCGTGAGAATCAGGTTGAGAACCCGAGTCATGTGCGCGCTCTTTTGTCAGCGGAGGAACACTGGCTGAGTGGGGGGAGATTTTAATTAAAGAAGAACACCACGTTGGCGCTACTGTGCTGTGCGAAACGACGGTACATTAAGCGCGTAAACGCCCCTTCCTTCCTTCCTTCCTCGTCGAGAGGTTTCTCGCACGTTCTCGTTTAAACGTTTTTGGATCTTTCAATTCGATCGTAAATCGAGCGTTGTTTTCGAGGAAAACAACCGTTATGCGTATTGCTCACCTCGTGAGCGTGAAAACAACGGTGACGAGGAAAATGTTAATCTCGAAAATCCGACGTTCTCGAATTACGGTGCAGATTAGCGTAACAAGCGCTAGTGGAAAGTTGGCGGTAACCCACAAGATTGCACGTTTCGAGCGTGCAAAGCCCGCAAAGGAAGCGATTATCTTCTTTCTTCCCTTTTTATCCTTTAACCAGCCACCAGTCTTTATCCCGTATCGAATGACGAGTTTTCACTGATCCAGATGATTCCAAACACACTTTCCAAAACGCGACTCCTTCCTAAATAAACGTGTTAAACGTATTTACGATCCTTTTTTTATTTACAAACGCGCCATTTTGTGCGCGACGAGGAACGCGCGATTAAACGCAATTAAGAAGCGCGAGACGAGCCTCGTTTTTGGCGAACCGCCAACCGAAAATTTTGCGGAAACCGCCCACCACGATGAATTATCATCAATTATCGTAGGAGATTAGGTTTTTTTCGCGTGGGTCGTCGTTCCTCTCCACGGAAAATCCCACGTCTGACGCGCCTCTCCCTGATGACTGACTTTTGCGATTTTTCAAAGAGAAAATAAAATAAAAGGAGGAACGGTGGCGACATCCGTGGTATAATGAAAATGCACGCTTCGTGCAGCATCTTTCGCGCTCGACGCGCCCTCTGTTTACCTTAATTCCCACCCATATTTCAGTCCTAATGTAATTTCGGCCGCGACGAGTCGGACTTTTTTAACCGTGTTTCGTCGCATCGTGATATTTCACAGGAGCGAGTAATAATAATGGTTTTGAAACTTATGAGACGAAAAGGGAAACGGAATTTTAATTTTCGGGCGTAGTTTTTTCTCGAGTAAAAGTTTTCTTAAAGAATGTTCGATACGAAATTTGTGTCGCAACATTTTTCGTCAACCATTCGACAGAAAAAGATTGATTATCGAGTAACGAACAGTGATTCGAACGACAAGGTCTAACTGGACAAAATTATTTTTTTTTGAGCTTACACGTAGATTTTGTTAAAAGACGATACTAATTTTGATGTAATTTATTATCTCTTAAAAAAATGTGCCAACAACATAAAAATACAAATATCGAAAGATGATCGAAAGGATTTCGTCCATTTTTTAATACGTTGTTCCAACTACACTGTGCCGTTTAAACTACACTCTCCTATCCACTCTTTTAAGATCATCTTTCAAATATAATAAACAATAAACTCAAAATCTCCATCATTCGCCAAAAGAGGAAGAAGAAGAAGAAGAGAATCACCTAAATTTCCTTTCTCGATAATCGCCCCCGTTCAAATTTTTTTCCACGTGAAAAAGCGAGGAAAAAGAAAAAGAAGAAGACACCGCGAGTCGTAACGACTCGTGTGCGATCGTTTCGCGTTAAAAGGCCTGGCCTGGAAGAGAGAGACGAGACGAGACGAGACGAGACGAGACGAGACGAGACGAGACGTTTCTCAGGAAAGAAAGCCGGCGATGGAAAAGAAGTGGATCCTCTGGTTGGAACTCGACTAGAGTCTGACCCGCTATATATCGTCTCGTTCCCCTCGACGGGGAGAAGAAGAGGGAGAGACGACGGTTGCGGAACAGGGGCGAGGTGGAACGGGGGAGGAAGAGAGGAGGACGGAGGATCGTCTAGAGAGCGTATAGTCGAAAGAGGGCATCGCGTCCGGCGCGATGACCCACTATCTTCGCTTCGCCTGCTCAACCGTATAGTTTTAAAACATCGCAGTGCTACAACGCGCTGCTGCCTGCTACCTGCCACCTGTTCGCGACAGCCGTGCAACAAACCGTGCAAGCCTGTGTCCGCCCGCCCGCCATTCATTCATTCGCCTCTCCCCCGATTCTCCCCAGATCCGAGAATGGGGAATTGGAATCGAAAGAACAAACCGGTTAAATGATCTCGAAAATAAAGGACATATATATCGAAATCCGTTTCTCGGTTATATTAATACAAATTACATAATAAATTATTGTTTACGGAAGTAACTTCGATTTATTAAATTTTCTCATCGATTTTTTTATTCGATCGAATTTATTTATACTTTCCGAGGAATAATTCGAGAAGGATTCGAAGATTTCTGAATAATTCACTGATAATTCATTCCGAAAGGATAGCCGGGATCGTCATGCTCGAAACAACGAATAAACGAATAACGTGTAATAGGATTATGCGTGTATACCTCGTCGAACGAATGAAATGAAATTAATGACGATAAATCCCGTTAATTGCTCGATCGGTACGATGTACCTTCGCGTCCCTTTCTCGTTGAAAAAAAAAAAAAAAGCCGGGATTTTAACATTTCGAGATCGAAAAACAGCTTCCCCCTCCCCGCCAATTCCCGTACGAAATATAAATTTAAACCCTCGACGCAACAACAACGCTCGAATTAATTGCATTTACTTTGACTCCCGGCACACGTGGAAAAATTACACCGATCCACGCGCGAAAACGTTATTCGTATTATTACTCGTTTTATTTTCCACCGCTATTCGCGGTTTTTTCGGCGCGGTTATAAAAAAAAAGATACGAGCGAGCGGAAACACAGACGTTTCTCGATTAAACCGAGAGATATGACACGAGTTGACTGACGAGAGAATAGATTGACCGATCGATCGATCAGCTTAAGTAAATTTTTTCTTAAAAAAGAAAGAAAAAGAAAAAAGGTATACGAAAAGACGTATATCGTCGAAAACAGACTAGTCGAGGTTATATACCGAAAAAAGCGCGCTGCTCTCGTTCCTTCCATACTTCGTTCAGGGTGGCGACTTCGTTTCACTCGGGCTTTTACTTCGAAACGATCAGCGCCACTACTCGCGACGTATATATATATATATATATGTGGCACAAGTGGAGCCCGCGGTGATTCTCCTTTAACGTCATGGCGTTGTTTCTCGGCCGGCACGTGCGTATACGTAGCGCGAATAGCGGTCCAACGCGATACGCCGCGTTTAGGCATCGACGAGAAAACGCGATCGTTGTTCGCCCGGGGGGAAAAAAAGTGTACGAAACAACAGCTTCGATTTCAAACTCGTTATTTATTCTGCTCGAAAAATAGAGATACGTTTCGAGAGTTTCGCGTCCATCACTTTTGTCGAGCGAAATCCACGTTTCGTTTAGTCATTGACGCGTCATAACCTCAAAAACGCGCGTGTGTAAACATTGCGTATGTGGACGTATGTATCTATATACATATATATCCACGAACAACGCGTGATCGTGGGCTCGAGAAGGACGTTTCGAATCGTTCAGGCGATTCCGCAAGTCGCGAGCGCGACAATGGCATTGGAAAGAAGACGGACAGGTGCATAAATAGATTCACCTGTTTCGCTCGGCTCAGGAATAACGGTCGCCGTCGCACGACTGTTGTGAGAGGGGAGCGGTTGTGAACCGCCGGACGATAGTAAATCGAGGCCTAGGAGAAATGATAATGCCCGATCGAATTATTCGCTCGAATCGAGGGTGGGGGGAGGAGGGGAGGGATAATCGCGCGAATCCGAGGCCGATAATTTCACGACCGCCTTCAATAATAACAATAATAAAAGTAAAGTTCCCGTCGAGAGAGCGCGTGATTTAATTAGATTGTGGTGCTCGGCCGGAGAAAGCGAAAGTGGACGATTCGAAGGGAAGGGAGGGGACTTTCTCTCTCTCTCTCTCTCTCTCTCTCTCTCTCTCTCTCTCGAAAAGAATCGTTTCAAAAATCGGACGAAGGGGGATCAGTTGCTCTCGTAACGTAAGTTTTTTTTTTTTTTTTTTTTCGAAAAAAAAGAAAGCGCGGAATTCAGTTTGTTCACGTCGAACAAACGTGAAGGAAAAATTGACTTTTCGAACGACTCGTTCGTATCGTTCGCTGAAGATATATATGTATATATATGTACATATATACAAAGAATGGAGAATCGTCTCGAATAAAGTGATCGAGCCCAATGCCGATTGAACCGGGTTTATAGCACGCCGGCATCTTAAAGAAAAGTGTTACGCGTGTCTGCTACTCGTATGGTACACTTAACAGAGAGGCGAATTAATTACGAGCCGTAATAATCGTAAATGGTTGTTGTGCATTACTTACGGCCAAAAGCAGGGGCAGCAGCAACGAGATCAAAGTTGACTTCCGCCACGTTCTCTCCATCGTTGCGAGCGTCTCTCCTCTCTGCAATAAAAAAGCAAAAGAAATCCTGGTATGAATACGGGCCACAGGGTTTTCTCTCCTCTCAAACCAACGCCCAACCGATTCCGTTTCCGATCTTTCGATCGGCGACACGACTTTTCGTCTTATCTAGGTCACGCGACGTAAACACTCGTTTCTTTCTTTCTTTCTTTCTTTCTTTCTTTACCGATTCCTTGCTTCTTTTCACACTCTGCCCCTCGTTCGCGTCTCTATCGATCGTTTCTTTCTCTCCTTCCCTTTCTCTTTCTCTCAACGACATCCAAACGGATCCAACTGCCCGTTCACGGGTGAATCGCGACCACGATCGGAACGTGTGCGTGTACACACGTATACACACGGAACAAAAGGAGATTCGTGGGGCATTTTATAGTCAGTCGAATGCACAAGTGGCACGTTTACCGGTCCGCGCTTTTGCGAGGACTCGACGTTACGCAATGAACATCCAAAACTCCTTTAACTCTTTCGATTATCTTCTTGATTAGAAAAAAAAAAAGAAGAAAAAAAAGCAGCTCGTTCGAAGCGACGATTCGAAAAGAAAGAAGGAAAGAGAGAGAGAGAGAGAGACCTTCGCCCTTCCTCCTCCCCTTTATCTCTTCTTCTCGCTTTCTCGTGTAATCGGCGATGAGAAAATGAAGTTTAAAGGGGAGAGGAGGGGACGAAAGAGGGAAGACAGTTCGAAAATTAGGTTCGAAGATATCGTGTAATGATAATAAATAATATATTTTCGGTTAATAATCGGCGAAAACTTTGGTTTTCGGGAAGACGTTTCTCTCGACTTTCTTCTCTCCCTTCGAGAAACGAAAGGGAGAACGGGTGAGTTTTCCCCTCCCCCTATAGGGGGAGGGAAGGAAAGGAGAAGCACCTCTCTTAATCCTTCCTGCTTCCTTGTTCCTCCCAGGCTCCTTCCGGAATCCTTTCCAAAAAGAAGAGAACGCACCTTCCTTTTCTTCCTTTCCTTTTTCCTCTCTTCCCCCTTATTCTCACCCACGCGAGAAGAAAAACTCAAACACGAGCGACCCCTCGACGACGTGAACTCGACGCGGCTCGGCCAGTTGTTGTCATCGGGCCCTCCGCCGATGATCTCTTTTCCTTTCTTTCTTTCTTTCACTCGACGAGGCGTATGTGCGCGCGCGCGACACGCGATTCGGACGGGCCCAAGAGTTGGTTCGAGGTTGGCCGACGGGGACCGACTGAAGGCGCGAGCCACGCTCGCCTCGGCCACGAGCCACGTCCCACTGACCTACTCACGATCTCGATCGTGATGCTCGTCCTCTGACGCTCACCCCCTCCCACTTCCGCCTTCTACGTAACCAGGGGCCCCGAACAGGGGCCCACCGTGCTCGCTCGCTTCCCCCACCACCAACTACTCCCTGCCACCGTTTCCATTCCCTCTTTTTCCTTATCTTCTTTCTTTCGCTCACCTGCCCCCTTTCGTTCTAGCCCCTCTCCCCCTCCCTCCCCCTCTTTCTCTCTACCTTTTTTTTTTTTTCAACTTCGAGCTTTCTTTGTCTTTGCGGGCGAAAAATAAGGGATCTTTTTGGGAAGGGTTTGGGAATTTGAAGGAATTTAGAAGGAAGAGGATTGTGAAGAGTGGTTTCGTGAAATACGATACGAATGTGTGTGTGTAACGTAACGAAGCGTGGAACGGGACGACAGGCCGTTGGTGACGTCAATTCGAGAGAGAGAGAGAGAGAGAACGGAAAAATATTTCGGTTGCCCGTCCGTCGCATAGGCGAAATTATCGTGAAGGCGTCTCAATTGGTGGAAACAAGAGGTGGATTCGATTTCGATGGACAAGAAAAGAAGAAAGACGATTATATGGATTAGAGCACGTGGATTAAAATAATAACGCTCGTGTCAAAGTTTTCATTATCCGTTTCGTTGTGGGAAGAAGAAGTGGACAATTGTCGCAAAGTCCCGAGTGGACACAAAAGTGGCCTCACTTTTACGAGAAAGAGATCGCAAAGTCGATCTTTAAAGCGATCTTTTTTCTTAAGTTCAACAATTTTCTGAGACCAGACCGCTCCTCATTTTTGCTCTTCCACTCCCTTTTTTAGGGAGGGGAGGGGGAGGATGTACGCATAGAATGAAGAAATTGCGTCGATTTCGACTAACGTTCCGCTAACAGACCCTCCGATTCAATTTTTCGGATAACGACGTTACTCGCTCGTGATTGGCTTTTTCGATCCACTTTTACGCCCCATTTGAATGCAAATCGGGAGGGAATCGATTTCCTTCTTCGATATCCGATTTTTTTCCTTCTTTCTTTTTTTTTTTTTTTTCGATAATAACAACGTTTATTGAATGTAGCTAAACCGGTTTCCCCTCCTCTCCTCCCCCACTCTCTCGCGTTTACTTCCTATTAGCCTAGTAATTAGGCGAGTATACGATCTTCTATTCACCTAAAAAAAAATTTTCGCAATTTCACCTTCGCCTCTCCCTTCCTCTCTCTCTCTC